TTCAGCAGGCAATGACCCTCATAAAACGGAAAATCAGAGACACAAAGTTGATGAATTCACTTGGTTGTAAACAATTCCAGGGCCCTATGTTTTCTGCATCTGCTTGATCAATTGTCTATAACTGACATTAACAATTTACTCTACGATTAATAAAGAAATCGAACGTTTTAGATGAAGAGCATTAACGTACGATGCCTCGTGGTATTTTCGCTGCTCTTTTCTCGAAGTTTTGAAACCTACGTGCTACCGCGGGCGCCATCTGTGATAAATACATCCCACCAGTATTACGATGACGACAAAATGTATGAAATATCATATGCTTTTATCTTAAGCTTTTCTTTATGACGAAAATAAAGAAAACAGTAATTACATAATAAATAAAAAAGGAATAATTAAACGGAAACTTAAATATGTTAATATCAAGCTTAAATATCTCGCAAATTAAGTAAAGAATAAATGAACTGATCGAATCAGGTATTTAAATACACTGTCAATATACTACAGTTTATTCGTAGGTATATGTCGTATGTGGTTCAATATAGGTGTAATAAACAAAACAATATATTTAAAGTAAGCACGAAAACGTCGAAAACTGAACGAAACTTTTATAAATGCACCTAGATTTAAGATAACCGAAAATATTGTCAGCGCTTCCTCTATTCAAATTGAAAATTAGACGCCATCGACGCCATCACAGAACAACGATAGTAGAGGGCCAAATGCTATGGCGGTAAATTCAAAGAGCAATCCGATGTAAAGAATTCGTTTTTCATACTATTAAACGTAAATATATTCCCTTTTCCAATTCTTACATTTTGCATGGGCCACACAACCCATCACAACGTCAAGGAACACAAACTGACATGAGGATTTACCATATGTAAATGAGGTTATGATTCTCACATCGTAATAGCACATATAGTTTAACATTATATTTGTTATTATAACGATTTGAACAATTTCAGTGGATTTAGATTGACGAATTCTTTAATTGCAACTGCATTTGCAGATGAACTCACAGTATTTGTTTTCATTAGTTAAATAAAGTTCATAATATGTAACAGTAGACGGAGATTTTCTAAAAAATTTTCCCGGATTAAAAGGCAACTTCCTAGGGTAATTGATTTACCCCTCCATTACTCATTGGTCCTTTAGAAGGAAGTAGATAATTGTATTTAATGCAGAGATTCAACTAGTATTTAAATCTATTGCGAGTACCTTTTTTCTCTGTAACTCTGAAGAGTATTCCCGTAAGGGTTCTGAACTATACCCAGGCTTCGAAATGTGGTTTCAAATAATTCATTGCACTTATCAGTACTGCCCTCTAGGAAGCATAACCGAATACGACCGAAGGTCAGATGCAGAAGTATTTGTTTCATTTGTAATTGAAGGACTGGGATGAGTTTTGCACATGTGAAGTCAACATGTCGGTGTACATTACGTACGTGCTGAGCAGAAATGACATTGTGGTGTAGTTACAGTTCAGTGTCAGTTGCGCGAAAGGATTCATAGGGAGCAGAGTGGTCATAATGATAAATCAAGTTTCTAAGGCACCTATACCTATAATAATGTGAAGTACTTTAAACAGTACCGAATGCCATTATCCGTATTCAGTTTCCTAAAGAACGAGAATCTTCGTCGTGGCGGTTTTTCTCACATACAATTGATAAAGGTAACTGTCTCTTTATTTGGTTAATTGATTTTGTCACGCATAAAGTTATTTAATTCTTAACATTTGGTTCCTGCAGAATAATGTAGCATAAACTATAGTTAAATAGCTTCAAATGAATTCAAATTCATGCAAAAGTGTAGATGAGGAACTTAAAATAAAACACAGGATGTACTTACGCCCATGACAGGAAAAACAATTTAAGCATGGAATCCTTTTTTATCAATCGGTTTTAACTGAAAACTTTACGATATTATTGTAATTCAGTCAATATATTCAAACCATGTAACGACTTGATATCAGTATGCAGACGTAAATTGTTGATATTCCTTTCGTGTTTACTTAATTATTAGAGAATAAACATTATGTTGAAATCCCTTAATAAAACACTTATTTTACACAATACATTGCCGATACACATTATGTAAGTAACCAATTTTTTTTATTGCATTAATAGACAAGTAATATTTATTAAACGGTAATGAAAGAAATTGAACATTGTAGAGGTCAACAGAAAGTACATAAACTTCTTTTGATTCAGGAAAAATTTAATTTGATTTAATGTTACTAAGAAAGTTTGTGCATACAATGTCGCTAAAAACAGTATGATAAAGGCATAATATTTAAGTAATAAATCAAACAATGTGCGATTTATTAAAATATATTTTTCATTTATAAAAATGAAGTTCATACTTTAATGCCAACGCAAATAAGTTTAACTTTTATATTATTAAAATAATTTTGGTTTAATATGCATTTATATCTTAATGATAAAAAATTTGATATCATTCTTAATTAATAATACTTATATAAATATAAAGGTAAAGATACATTAATTTTATGATTAACAAACCGAATTTTACAAATTTATGACTGAAAAAGGAACTGTATTTTACGAAATGCAATATTTTATGGTGTTTCATTATATTATTTATATTTTCATGAAATATGACAATCCTGTATAAATTTGTTTAGAATTAATTTTCCTGTTGTATTATGTAGTTTTATTTTCTGTAATTGGAAATTCATTGAGGCGTAGATAATATTATGTCAATATGTGATAATGATGATAAAAATCAGCATGTAAGATAACCCATTCATATACAAAAATGCTTAGATTAAGTTTAACTTTACTATGTATGTTTCAAAATAATTTAATTGTTATATTATAATTCATGGCTAGTAACACCAGATATACTCTGAAAAAAAAATAAATATGTATAATATTCATTACATTGCCTATCAAATATTTCTGTACAAAAATTTTTTAAAAATAGAGTGAGATTAATTAAATGTGTAATGTCACATGTGTAAAGTTATCTTGAAGTGTAGTTCAAAACAAACATGTTGTGTTTGCTTCATGTATTGCCAACAATACAATCAACTGAGGTTAAAAATAATCTGAAAAGCATCATTTGCATTTATGAGATAACCATTCAAGGTTTCCACACTTTTATGCAGTGTCATTTCCTTGTTATGTCTTCATTCGTTCAACAAAAAATTTACAAACAAATTAACCAATACCAAATTATAAAATTTTTAAATGTAAAATTACATAATTATCAATAATGTATTCTGTTAAATTCTATTTATTTACAGAAGTGACTGGAAAGATATTATATGGTCAAACAAATAAGTCAGATTCGTGAAACTTAAAAATGAATTAAAGAACATGTGTGGGCATACAATACCTCATCCAGTTGAAAGTAGTCAAGCAGTTATTGGAAGAATACAAATGTCTGTATTATCAGACACAAGGGCGATATCCATGCTACAAACTGCTTCACCTCCTTTAATGGAGACAAGTACAGAAGTCATAGTAAGGAATAAAACATTTTATTAAAAATATTTTTCATTTACTCATTTAAATATTTACTAATTACTGTCAATATTATTTGGAACCATTCTCTCTTGAAATGACTTATTAACTTTTCTAAATAAAAATAATCACTTGCTAAGTCCAGTATTAAATAGATTGTTTTGTACAAATCTGGATATCATTGCATATCTAAATTTCAGTTAATAGAAAATCTAATGTTAAACTATATTATATTACATTTATACTATACATTACATTATATATTTTAGGAAAAACAAGGAAAATCTATTGGAAGTGATGGCATTTCGAATACACAAAGGGTATGGACAAGTTTGGTGTCTGGTGCTATTGCAGGTGCATTGGCAAAAACAACGATAGCACCTCTGGACCGCACAAAAATTAATTTCCAAATTTCAAAAAAGCCATACTCTGCGAGAGCAGCAATTCAATTTCTAGTAAATACACTTAAAACAGAAGGTCTACTTAGCTTATGGCGTGGAAATAGTGCAACAATGGTCAGAATTATTCCATATTCTGCTGTTCAATTCACAGCTCATGAACAGTGGAAAAGAATTCTAGGAGTAAATGGATCAGAAAGGTAAGGTACTCCAAAGTTGAAGTCAGATGATCATAGTTGAATGTAAAGTATAGCATATAAAACACATAATATTTCTTTTTAAATAATATCTTTGCCTTTAAGAATAGGAAACTTACGATTAAAATATGTAAAATGCTTAAAAATTAAGTTATACTACAGTATAGTTAATGATAGAAAAATAGTGAAATTGTAAATGTTAACTTTAGGTCACTGCAGAACATGATACGTAAAACTTCTACTCTATGTATTTATCTAATTTACAATTCCGCTATTTGTCTATTGTCAATTATACAGGATGAGTCAGAGCAGGTGGTACAACTAAATAAGGAGTTGTTCTACATTCAGTAGTTCTTTATCATTCTTTACATTCCCTTTCCATTTACTGTCAACACAAATTGCACAACGAATTAGATACCCAGTCAGCCAAAGCCAAATTTTGTCCAATGCCTGTTATAAAGTTATGGCTATAAGTTTGATGCAAGATTTGCTATAAACACCTTACGCGCCCATTGGTAGCAACATATGCAGCAAATTGGCTTGTCCAAACCTTGTTCCAGTTTTGCTCTTAACCCAAGTCAAATGCGAAAACAGATGGCTATGGCCTATTAGACAACTTTTGTCATTTATTGCTAGCAATTTGCTCAAAACTTATATGCAACTAATTATCAGGGTATATACATGTTAGATAAATCTTTAAGTTCGATTATCTCGAAAACGAAGCATCATATGAACAAATTTTTTCTCCTCCCCGATTGTGCCACCCGTTCTTGCCCACTTTGTATATGATAATTATGTTTAATAATACAACTCGAACATACACAGGGAAAAACCAGGACTGAATTTCGTAGCTGGTGCACTGGCTGGTATAACATCTCAAGGTACAACGTATCCTCTGGATCTGATGAGGGCAAGAATGGCTGTGACACAGAAGGCTGAATACAAAACCCTACGTCAAATTTTTGTACGCATTTATGTGGAGGAAGGAATGATGGCTTATTACCGTGGATTCACTGCAACACTACTCGGCGTTATTCCGTATGCCGGCTGCAGTTTCTTCACGTATGACCTCCTGAGGAACATGCTGACTGGTGAGTCGGTTCTTTCACAAAAACTTGTTTGACGCCGTGACGGTGCTTACACGTAAACGAAAACGATCGTGATTTATACGAACGAGAGTGGCTCGTGTGTATGATCGTAAAGCAGGGTACCCTGTGGGAAACGTCGGGGCTGTTTCTCCCGATATTGGGACGGTACTTACTTTAATAGCGACGCTTGTCGAAACAAGTCCGATGGCGGCGTTTTTCAAGTGCGTGCTTCATGTTCGATGATGGCTACGTGTCGATGAACAGTGTACACGGTGGCTATTCCTGGGTTCTCGACATCACTGATTTGTGGCGGCATTGCCGGAATGGTTGCTCAGACTAGCAGCTACCCTTTGGACATCGTACGGAGGAGAATGCAGACTTCGGCAATCAAGGGCCAGCATTATCATACTATTGGTTCTACCATAAGAAAAATTTACAGGTAGGTTTATAAAAAAATGCATTCTCTTTCAAGAAGTATATTACAGAAATTCAATCACGCTATAGTAACGTTATAGTGAATGAATATTTTGTTGTATTACATTCTAGAACATGATAGCTAGAATGTTTGTAGGGATCAAAACTTCATTAACATCCTGTATCCATATATTAAGTGAAATAATAGAAATTACAAAGATAAACATATCGTTTTTCATAGTATAGTTGTACTCTATAGTGAAAACAAAATATATATATTACACGTAATTTTCGTATGTTTTCAGAGAAGAAGGTCTAATGGCTTTTTATAAGGGACTGAGCATGAATTGGGTAAAGGGCCCGATCGCAGTAGGAATTAGTTTTGCAACACATGATACCATTCGCGATACGTTAAGGAAAGTTATTGCTTCTCCAACCAAATTACCAAATTAGTATAACAGAATTATAAAATAATTCGTACAGTTACAGAAACTGAAGAGAAATATTGTTAATTATCCGTTACCATAAGGCATCTAATTGTAGGTAAAAAGTAAATGTACTTTTATTACACGGAAATTCCTTCAAAATATAAATTCGCATAAAATCTAATAAAAAGCAAGAAAACTGTTACATACAAAGTCATGGCTGTACTAATTTGATGAGATTATACTATTTTGCAACGGACACATCTGAAAAGACAGGGAGGCACTAGTACAAATTGTTACTGTATATATATTGTTATTTCAAATGATATAAAAACTGTTAAACAGCTAAAAATGCATGTGAGGTAGTTATGCATTTAAGTCAATGAAGACTTATTGCGCAAATATTCATTTCAATCGGCATGTTTTATTTGAAACATGATTTCAGTTGTATTGATATAGTCGCCTTTGTGCGTGTGTATATGTGTGTGTGTGTGTGTGTGTGTGTGTGTGTGTGTGTGTGTGTGTGTGTGTGTGTGTGTGTGTGTGTGTGTGTGTGTGTGTGCCAACATACTAAAATTTCTTAATTAGATAATTTAGAGAATAACTGCATAAAAATGAATCGGAATTTATATTTTTCTTTGTTATGTAACGGCACATACTGTCCTTAGTATTTTAACATTTGTATTAAAATAACTGTGGAAAACAATTATGTACAAACAATCATTTTGTTTGTACTGTAGATTCTTCAATAGAAGTTCTAAATTTCGCAAAATGTAATGGCATGCTTTAAAAACAACTAATCCTGACAATAATCGCGTAAATATAATGTGCAATATTACAGACTACACAATTATTTGTAAAGGAGCAAACTATCTCTAACATTTTTCACAATACTTAATGCTTTTATATCATAATTTGTAGTAATTTTATATTTTTATGGAGCTCCAAGTTATTTTAATCTTGTACATACTCAAAATATTATTTTTAAACTTTACTATGCATTGTAAAACATGTTAAGGTTTAATCAATTCCGATTGATCATCCAATAAAAATATTAATTTAAGAAATCAATGTTTTAAATGTATATTTTTTTTTAAGCAAAAGTTTTTGATGTATTCATTTCTCAAATAAATGTACTTAATTGTTTAATATGTTTATAACGGATATGTTAAATTGTTGCATTATAACATTCATTTTTACTTGAAAATAGTTTAATTCAAATAACATGTTTCTACTCACTTAAAGTCAACTATTGTAAATATTTTAAGTATTCAAAGCAATGCAATGAGATTTTCTAAAAATGAAATAATATTTATAATGTCAGTATGTCTTTGCCACAATGTTAATAATTTTTACAGAATATATTACAGATAGTAGAACATACTAAGACTTAGTTTGTAAAATACTGTTTAATTAGTCCATTCTGTTAAATAAAAAAATATTTTTTACAAAAAACATTTTATTAATAATTGACTAGCCTAATAATTCTGAACAGGTTGTTGTTTACGTTGTAGCGGTTTTATGATTAACAGTCGTCACTTATTTAAGATATAAAAATGTAAAATACAACGCTGTCGGTATATACATTACAAATGGAGCAATTTCTGTGAGAAGGCTTTAACGTTCGATTCTTACTGCTTTAATAAAGCAAGGTACAATTTAAAAGTCTTCAATCTATTACTTTTGTGAAAAATTATTTTACAATAATATATTATTTTGGTTTGGTTTCCTGGTCATTTACATATCTAATATAAATTTCAATTTCATCTTTACCACCTGGTGGAATTTCAGCTTCATTCAAATATGATACACCTATTGCAAGTACAGATCCATCGTGACTAAAACTAAGGGCAGCAACACCAGCATTATATCTATGAAATTGGCATAAACGTTTTTTGTTAAAACCATCCCAAATATTCACATATCCATCTGAACCACCAGTTGCAAATGTATTGTATGTTGAATGAAAACTAATAGCATTCACTGGATATATATGTTCTACATTATTCTCCTTTATCCTGTGACACTTAAATGCATATTTCTTTTTCTGCGCTTCTGGTGTAGTGTCAAGATATTCAACAGCAACACGGCCCTCTATACTGCTAAGAACATATCCCTGAAAGTAATTGGAATAATAACATACTGCTTCAAATAGTTCTTTATGAAGCCCTTAAAAATTAAACTTACTTGTTCATTAGGAAAGCCTTTGATACAACGTGTCTGATACTTCAAACTACTTTCACGTCTTTGAAACATACCAGCCATGTTTCTCAAATCCCAAATACAAACTTTTCGTTTAGCTGTACCTACTACAAACTTGTCCCCACACACAGACAAAGCAAGAACAACATCTGGTTGTAAATAACTACCCACGCAAGTGGGTGTTCTAGGGTCCCAAAGTTTTACTGCTGCATCCCAACCACCAGTTAATATTGCATTTACTGCAGCACAATACTCAATTTTTCTAATTGGTTTATCATGCGTTCCCATCACTGATTCTATAAGAAAATATATGTCTGTGATTCCTGTGTTCTACAGTGTTAACACTTAGCCAACCACGCGTGTAAAGCCTAACCATATGCTTTCTACCATGTACTTTTCGAAAGTAGCAAAGATTAATCTTCACTTCTTGAAAGACAAAAAGAACATATAAACATAATTTAGGTGGATAGATCAGGCTTGTTGTAAATGATCCTATATTACATGTAGTTTATACAAAACATGAAATAAAAAATAAATAACATAATTAAGTACTTTTTGTAGTTTATGCAAAACATAAAATTAAAGAAAAATTACATAATTTAAATAAAATTAAAAATGAAAAACGTATTTTAGTATTTTTTTCAAGTTTAGTGGCGTTCGAAACAGATATGTACAAAATAGGAGGCAACGTGTTGCTTAGGAAAAAGTGGGAGATCTCCCCAATTGATCATGCAGCAACTTACTTCAAAGAGGAGAGATCTTCCCATTCAGTTGGCTAAGTATTAATATAAATAAATGAACAATTACTCGTACCAGTATTGCTGTTGATATCATACATTTTTAATGTATTTCCCAAACCTCCACTATAAGCATGAACAGCATCCTATGTAATAATAAATTTTAATTACAGAATTACAAGAAATTAAGAAATCCCATTAGCTTACACACACACACACACACACACATATATATATGTAACAATAATGCTAAGCACAAAACCAATGAAACTGTATTATAAATATGTATGGCATTATACATGTATGTTTAAAGAAATACATATAATTTTGTTTCACTTCCTTAATTGTCATGTTTTTTTACCACACAGAGCTTTACCTTACATTATTCTGTCAAAGTTATACTTTTCTTTTTCTTTTGCTTTTTTTATGTTTCAGATAAACATGAATGCAATAATTGATTTACTTATACAATAAATACATTGTTACATTGAAACTATTGATCGAAACGACATCAATGAATTTATGATTACCTGAAATGCAACGTCTAGAACTGGTAAATCATGATTATATTTTAATCTCATAGTGTTAGCATGAATATCATACAATCGGACTGTACTGTCCCATGAAGAGACAAGAAGAAATTGCGTTGAATTCGGCCCAAATTCAACCGCCGAAATTGCATCGGTCGGAGGAGATTTGATTTTAAATTCTGTCCGAGACTCCATTCTTAAAGAAAATACAATAAAATTTATGAAAGTCGTATGCCCTAACATACAAATAAACATAACCTGCAAACAGTAAAACAATCCACGTACATTGTAAGAAAATGTCGTCGCTCTTAACAACGGAGCTAGAATATATTTATCCAAATCAGTGGTAGAAATTTATCTATAATTAAACTGATAATATACTATCTATAAACTGATTCAAATGAAATTTAAATATTCTAAACGAAGGTAAAGGCACACACTCGTACACATAACGTAACGGGGCACGTTAATACATTGAACTTAATATGAATTTTGCACTTATAATACAAATTGCAAATAAATACGATGTTAAATAATCAGCGAAATTACTACAAGTATATCGGTTGCGAATAGCCGAACATTTAATTTTCAGTGAACGATTCTATTACACAAATTTTACAGTGAAATATCAATGGAGATTCAAATATCAGGAAACATTAAAGACTCCATCTTCCTTTCTACCTATATATACTAATATCCGGAACACATGGTCGCTTCCTAACCATGGTAATACGTTTTCGGAGTTGTGTACTGTTTGAAAATTGAATGGAACATAAAATAAACGAAACATGGTAAGCCGATACACCGATTAGATAATAATATTAAGTTTTGATATAATTTGTTTTCAATACTAAACATGGATAGAGCTTTTAACAGAATGATGTTTCGGCTTGAATGTAACAATAGGCGATGTAGCAATTTATTCATTTTGTATATAGTATTTATCAAATAAAAAACACGATACTATGTTTATGTGTTAATATCATTGGCTTCATCGTTTTGAATGCAATAACAATTGCCGACAAATGTTTGATACAAACACATCATGAAAAAGTTTTTCCGAACTGTTCGTAAAAACACGTGTAAAAACGCTCGAAAGTACTCTGAATGAGTTATGTTTTTGTATCCAGACAGTGTCCATTAAGCTTTATATTAGTCAATCAACTTATTTAATTGTGTACTTTTGTTTTGATCCTTTTCTGTAATCCATTAAAATAATAAAAGTTGAAAGCTTTACAAAATGTTCATGCAAAATAAAGCAGAATACACATACAATAAAGTTATGTATTTACAATAATCTATGTAATTGTTATTTTAATATTTCAGTCGAAACTCTTTGTTCTATTCGAGCATGCTGCCGGCTATGCTGCTTTCTCTGTCAGAGAATTCGAAGAGGTAGGAATGCTATTGCCTCAGGTTGAAGCATCTGTTACAGACCTGTCACGTTTTAATTCAGTTGTGAAACTCATTGCATTCTCACCTTTCAAAACTGCTTTAGCAGCTTTAGAAAGTATAAACAGCATTTCTGAAGGAATTACTCCTGAAGATTTACAGTTATTTTTGGATTCCTGTATACCAAAGGCCAAAAAGAAGGAAAAGGTAGTCCTAGGTGTGTCAGATCCAAAACTTGGAGCTAGTATCACTGAAACTTTGGGTATAAAATGTGATCATACCGGTGTTGTACCAGAACTCATTAGAGGAATCAGATTTCATTTCCATAGTTTGATAAAAGGGTTCACCGCTAAAAGTTCTGGTGTCGCACAACTTGGTCTTGGCCATAGTTATTCTAGAGCTAAAGTTAAGTTTAATGTTCATCGTGTCGATAATATGATTATACAAAGCATAGCTTTGTTGGATCAGTTGGATAAAGATATAAATACATTTAGTATGCGTATAAGGTGAGTACTCACTATGTAATTTACATGGTTTCTCCAAATTTATAAGTATAATTTATACTAATGAATACTATAATATGTAATTACAGAGAATGGTACAGCTACCACTTTCCAGAACTTGTGAAGATAGTTCCTGAAAATTATATGTATGCCAAAGTTACACAGTTAATAAAAAATAGAAAAGAACTTACAGAAGAAAAATTAGAAGCCTTGGAAGAAGTTCTTATGGACAGTGCTAAAGCTCAAGCAATCATTGATGCATCAAAGTCATCCATGGGAATGGATATTAGTCCTGTTGATCTCCTTAATATCGAAATGTTTGCAGCGCGTGTTATTGCTTTGGCCGATTACAGAAAACAATTGTCAGAATATTTGAGATCTAAAATGGCTGGAGTAGCTCCAAACCTAGCTACACTGATAGGTGACCAAGTAGGGGCCAGATTAATAGCACATGCTGGATCTCTTACAAACTTAGCAAAATACCCTGCCTCTACTGTACAAATATTGGGTGCAGAAAAAGCTTTGTTCAGAGCATTGAAAACAAAGGGTAACACTCCAAAATATGGATTACTGTTTCATTCAACTTTCATTGGTCGTGCAGGTACAAAAAATAAAGGTAGAATTTCAAGGTATCTTGCAAATAAATGTTCCATAGCGTCAAGAATTGATTGTTTTACTGATATACCAACAAAAGTATTCGGTGAAAAGTTAAGGCAACAAGTAGAAGATAGGTTGAAATTTTATGAAACTGGAGAAATACCTAAGAAAAATATTGACGTTATGAAAGAAGCAGTAGAGGAAGCAGCACAAGTAATAGCAAGTATGGAAACAGAAACACCTAAGAAGAAGAAGAAAAAAGATAAGAAACGAAAAAGTGAAGTTCTAGAAAATGGAACTCAAAATGGAACAGAAAATGGAGATGAAAATAGTTTCGTTGAAAATGGTGTAGAAAATGAAACTGAAGAACCAGTAAAGAAGAAGAAGAAAAAGAAAAAGTCAAAAAGTTTAGGCGAAGCCGAATGAGAATCTATAATTTTTAAGTTCCTGTATAATTGTAATACGATATGCTGATTGTACTGTTTCTACTCCGTGAGCGGTGTAAGTTGCATGTAAGTTGAAGTAATTAAGTGCACTGTTTTCTAAACAGTCTCCATTATAATTACAATCTTTATAGAATTATTATTTAGTTTCTTAATGAGTAAAAGTTCTATTTGTAAAGATATATAAAAAAAGCTGACAACTGAATTATAATTTATGGACATATTATTCATGTACGACTTGACTCTTGAAGTTTATTAAAAAAATCTGTATTATTTTATAAAAGAACAACTGTAAAATATAATCTTTTGTAATATAAATACTTGTATACATGGCATTTTGCAAATTATTTCTTGTTTGAGCTGTATACTTTTGATATACCAATATGGTATTGCAGAACTAAAGAGAGACACACTAAAGTGTTTAATCTTTACAAGTCTTAAATGTAAAATTTGTTTTAAATTTACGTATACTATATAGATAAATTACTACATTATAATTACAAAGGTACTTTAGTAATGAAAAACATCTACAGTGACTCAGTGAAAATTGTGTGCATTTATGTAAATTTGGCCTTAGTTTGGTACATAATAAGATAATGATTTTGACTAAAGTTGAGTTACTAACTTCCAGTTTAATATATTTTCATGAGGTGTATAAAAAATTTAGAGAGTAGAAATTATTTTTTATTATAAAAAGGTAACTAGGCAAAACATGCCGCAAATTGACCTCACACTCAGAATTGTACAAGATATATAATAAACCATAACTAATAAGTATTATGTACAAAATTATTTCCAATATTTTGTAGAAGAGCCTTTGTATCGTCGAGACTTGTGTGGTCGTCGTGACATCAATTGAACTAACTTTTCTAACAAATTAGACTGAATGTTTATCCACGCTGTTTTCAGTGTTGTTCTTAATTGATTTTCATTTGATATTTCATACTTTTATATTTATCTTCTCAGTTCATGCAAAACTTGTTCAATTATATTTAAATCTGCGGATTGAGCGGGTGTTAGAATAACTTTTCGACAGTTATACAAAACCCATTCTTGTGCAATGCTTAATTGATGTGTAATTCGTATCGTGGCTTCGTAAAACATAGATGTTCTTAACTGTATCCTTAATTTTTTAGGACTTTACATGTGTTTTTTAGAATTTTTAAATAAAAATATTTGTTCATTGTTCCTTCAATAAATTCTAAATTTCTCACTCCGTTAGTTGAAACAGAATCTTAGATTGTTCAAAGTTCTAGTTGAAACAGAATCTTAGATTGTTCAAAGTTCTAGTTTTTCATTTGTGTCAAATAAGTTTAGTTTGCTTTTATCCGTAAATATAACATTCTTCTAAAAGTTATTATAATACTGTTTAGTGAACACTAATCCCCTTTGTCTATTTTTAGCGCTCACATACTATTTTCTTCTTAATAGGTGTAATATATCCTTCTTCTAACATTTTCAACACTTACGAGTTTTCTTAAATGGATATTTGTAGGATTTTTATTCATCATCAATTTTGCTATATCCCTATGTTATTTCCTATTATTCAGATGATAAATTACGAAAGTTCACGTTCCACTACAGTTGTTTGCTTTTTTTAAGAGAATGATTTTTATGCTGTACGTGGGTATTCGATAGGCGCTATCCGCTATCTACATATATGTATGTACATATATGTTATATGGAATAGAAAAAGAAATAAGCATCATTAGAACGTGATGCATTTTTTCAGATAAACGTCGGAACACTCCGTTCTACGATTTTCAGTAAGTCCATTACCGTGCTGTTGCAGTGGCAGTTTTTTTTTATAATAGAAAATAAGTTTTATTTTCTGATCTTCAATAACAATTTATGAAAATGTATTAAACTAGAAGTTGGTAACTCAATTTTAATAAAAATCTTTATTCTGCTACTAAACTGAACGAAAATTTGTATAGATGCACAATGTACGATTTTCACTGACTACTCATTTCATAGTATATGAAATTTATTATATTCCTATATTATAATTTTTAATTCAGTTTTTCATGAATATTAATTTTATTAAAATTATTGTTTCCATCATATATTCATAATTTCTTAATTAAGCACGTTTTACAGGTTCTTTTTGTAGAAAAAAATATATTTTCTCTTTCGAGTTTAATATACTAACTTATCGTGTTTTATTTAAAAAATTTATATATATTTCACCTAATTAATCATAAACTGGTTTCATAAAAGAACAAATGTTCAAACTTACGAATAAAAATACATAACTAGTAAATAGTAGTTAGACTATTTGTTAAATAGTAAGTGAATTTGTATGTGTATTTGTTTGGCTCAAATATACATTGAAATACTTAAGGTTAAAGAAAATGAGATTTAGCTTTAATCTTGAAGAACATTCCATATGTACAAGACACTTAAGTGAACATGTCAATGCAGGGGAAAGGTACATTTTATGATGTTAAGAATGAAATAAATTGAAGTAGTTAATAATTCGTATTAACACCAGCACCAATGAGCATTTAATAACGATAAAACTGTGATGTAAGTATAAATACCTGAATTAATAATTACAAATATCGCGACTACTATAAACAATATTCAGTCAAAATCGACCCGTGAGCTATCAGTTATCGTTCGCACGTATGTATCATAAGCGACATAATGGCGGTCCTGAATTTTACCAGAGGAACAATCATTTTTAGCTCTATAATAATTGTTTTTATACATAAAACCGTAATGTATATGTAACTAGGTATACTAAACGCGCGATTAATATTGATATGTACCAGGATACATGTATTGCTTAATGGTTTCGATTTAATACTTATTTCCAAAATAATTCAACATTAAATGCAACTATACATGTGTATATAAAGATCTAACAATAAAAATTACTTTGCAAATTACATAAACTAGTAAGTTTTTCATACTTGTTTCCTATGTACATAGCAGACAATTACAAAGTTTACAAATGTAATTGTAACAATTACATAAACGACATAAATCATTAACATAGTTTAATTAAATAAGATTTATAAATTGTTCTTGTAAAACGTACAGTGAACAATATCATCGCGCGCAATTAGCATAAAAATAGAATTCATAGTTAAACAGAAATCAATGATACATATATCAATAAGATAGATATCACTGTTCTATCTTTCTTTTAAAATTTAAAATTAATATAAATATTTGAATATATAACTTTTTACCAATATTCCGAGTAAAAATTTATAAAACTTATTCATTAACGAAAGAAAGAGTTGATTAATTTCCATGATTTTAATTTTTATCCAGTTTGACTTTATAAAGGCCTCTGTAATTCTAGACTGTAATCGTGCCTCTATATGTTTCAGCAGTTTCAATGATGGTAGTACCACGCTTACTCATATTGACTATACTTGTTTATGTTTGTACAATAATACACACATATGTATGTACATATACTGATACATACATACGTATGTATATTTTAATACTTTAAAAATATATTCCCATCTACATCAAACATTTTGTTTCATATAAAATGCTCAAATAATGGAAAATGTAAAGGATCCATATTTCCCTTACAAGATTCAGTCTCTGATACTCGCATAGAAGCCTGTAAGTTATAATCCCACATCAAGTTTACAATAATTGAAACAGAATTTCATAACAACTTAACAATACAACTGTCTGACAGATGTGAAATACTTTCAACCATATAGAATATGTTGGGTATCTGTTCTATGTATATTATTAGTTATAGTACATGTTCTATGAAAGCAATAGATCACCTAAATCATTCATTCAAGAACACGTACAAATATAAATTCAAACTTTGCTGCAAATTCTGAAATAATTTCGAAATTTTATTTCTTTCGTATTATACATAACAGAAACTTGTAGTATCTACTATATTAAAACATAACTGACAAATAAAAAATTTGCTACATTAAGTATATACTACTGCAAATAAAAAATAACGAATACAGCATGCAGACAAAATTTTCAACAACTGTTCCATTATTAAATAATCCAATATCTAATTATTCTATAACAAATCATTCCATAATATATTTCAGTATCATGCAGCAAAGATTTATGAAATCATTCCCAACAAACAGCACGCGTAAAGGAAATATGACTTAATAATCTAATAGTTAATACTTAAGTATTAATAATTATCTTCTGCTCTTCTTAATAGTCGCGTAAGAAATTATCCGGAAAGATATGCATTTCTTCATTGTTAGTAACAAATAACTAAGAAAGTGATATTCAGTTTTTTTTACTTTCCTCGCCTACTTTACAAAAATTCTAGAATATCATTCAATCACAAAGATAATTAAATTTCTCGTAACTATGTAATTACGCAACTACAACGTCCTCAAATAATTTACAATTTACCATGAAACACATAATATTATTAAATCACCATGCTGAGTGGAGCGCTTTTAAAGCGCGGAAACATTCTGTTGCGCTGATTTTGTGCTTCTGTGCTTCTTTCATTAAAATAAGATCTTTCATCCTGCCACATGCTTTTATATTCATCTATATTCCCTTAAATAGCACTAATTTTGTATAAGTTCTTTTTCGTGCAAAACTAACTGTAATAGGGAAGCACTTATCGTTAGTGATGTTATTGCGTCTGTTCATTCTTCTTTATAGACGAATACCATCAACGCCGAATATTTATAATAGAAAAGTGAAACGACTTTAACATTGTTGTCACCAATATAAATGCAGCTTCCTGAAGACTGCAATAATGGTATTTAACTATAATTCAACCTTTGTAAAAGCATCCTCCATTTCTTCAAAACATTAAATAACATTTATAACAGAATGTCTCATATTCAGTAGTAAATAAAAGTAGTATACTACATTCCCACAGGTTTCTATAACTCACTTTCATGCATACATTCTTATAATACATTATACACGTAAGGCATAATCCTGATTCGTCGTAAAGTTCAATTTACAGTATGTATAAAACGTTTAGGACAAGTCTGCCTGATTTGTTCCCGCGTAATTTGAAAATAACGTAAATATCCGTTACAAAATTGTAATATTCATATTGCGGAATGTTACTGGGAACATACATTATCTAGAAATATCACTTTGTGACAAATACATGCTCACAGATGTATTGAAACTTAATAATCTATAGAGCTGCTCTAAAACTTTAAACTAGACATGTAATTTATGTAGTATTCATCACAATGTATATGTATTATCTTCTTTAATAAATTGCTTTTCTTTTCTGTAATTATTAAATTGAAAGTAAAATAATAGTAACACAGTTCATGTAGTGGAATATTGAAAAACTGTTTGACTGAAAATTATGCAAAATTCAGAAATTTAAAGTACTTCCGTCTTAATCATTTGTGAACACATGATTACGCAATATATTTTACTGATCTTTTTGCTCTGACATTTACATTACGCAATTGTTTACAGTTGCACCCTGTATATAATTAGACTGCTTCGTCCAGAAAATAGAAAATTTATTTTAACTTCACTTATTTAGTGTATGCCTTTGAGTTTCACTAATATCAGCATTCAATTGCTGAAAAGTTCATTGAAATGCAGGGAAAAATGCTGAATTTGCTTGTTGCTGTTTCTGCTGCTGGGGTTGAATCATTGGTGATGTATAACCCATTGTTGGTGATGCTAAAATAATTATATTTTCCTTGTTACATGATACCTGTTTTACATTAAATTGATGACAATATATTGTACAATATACTCTACAGAATTCAAAGTACTGAAATTAAACTTAACATTACATAAACTGTTCAATGAAAATAAGATGTACAATTTGTTTAGTCAAAATAAAATTTATACTAAAATTTTTGTTACCTTGGCATAATAGTAATAATAATGTTTTTTAGCCAAAGAAACATTATAATTTTCTTTAAAAAGATAGAAGTAAAATAATACAATTTTTAATATGTACAGACACAATAGATTTCAAAGACTTTATTATATTATTATAGATTTTTATGACTGAATATGTATTATGTTCCTTCAAACTATTCCAGTAAAAAAATTAATTTCTATTTCTCATAAATTACTTACCCACAAGATTAATTTGATGTTGTGGACTATTACTTGCTAGTTGATTCATTGTTGGTGCAGGTCCAGATTGTTTAACTTTACTTCCCATTATGTTGTCAAGATCTATATTTAGTCCTGAACGTACCCAAGTAGACCCAACTTGTGCTGCTGGATTGTTTTGCATCATTTGGTACGACATTTTGGAATTGGTAGTTGGGGTAAGAAGATTTGTAACAGGCGGTAATCCAATTGTTCCTAAATGTGACATTTCATTTAGTTGTTAACACACCATTTTCTTTTCAATACTTTATTATATTCTCGCATTCACATTAGATCAACTTATTACTGTATTGAAATGGTAAAAATACTTAGTAGTTATACACAAACGTATTTCTGTTTTATTCAATACAGGTTATACTAAATTATTACAATACTTAGAAAAATAAATTATTTAATTTTATATATTGTATGGTGCGACTTTAGTTACAAAACATTCTAAACGACATTCGATCGTTTACTTGTGTATGATAATTAATGAAAAGTATAGAAAAAAGGGAAAAACATTTTAATGTTCCTCCACTAGTATTCAAATTATTTAAATGTATTTGCAACTATCTTATTCTATTCTACTGCTTGTAGAGCCTACGATCAATTAAAGATACCACGCTGGCGGCTAAATTTCTACATTCTTTGTCATGATCCCCAGTAACTACATTTTGACACAAATCTAAAAGCCAAAATTTTATTTCACCAATACTATCAAACAATTCAGTAATGACTATATCTTCTGGTACTGCGAGAAGCACAGCTGCAATATTTTCTATTACTGCCACTCTAACTTTAGCCTGGTCATGATATCGCAGGGTCCATGATAATTCGACAATTTCTTTTCCCATTTTGGGAGCCAGCAAGCAATTCTGTGCTGCTACCATTATAGTAGACAAGGTTTTTAGAAATCGAATTAACAAGATGTTCTCTTGATCTGAAAATATTTTCAGTCCACTATTTAAACAAGTGCCTTGTTTACCAAAACCATATAGGAGCGGATAGAAAAACGAAGATACAACATTTCCAAATTTATTTTGAAATGTTTTAGGAGATTTTGTACTACGCATGTGTCTTTTTGTGTGTAATTCAATCCTTTTCTCAACAATTTCTCGCCAATCCTGCACAGCCTGATCTTCAGGCTTTTCAAATTCATCAAGGTCATCGCTATAAAGTACCCTGTATTGTTGACTTTTCTCAGTATTAATGAAAAGTGATACTCTGTTACAAACTTCGTTTCTTGTTGATTTTAGTTTTAACTCGCGTATATTCCTTTCGCCTTCATTAACTGGAATGCTTGATAATCGTCTTGCTGATTCTGCTAATACATCTAGGAAGAATAATCGTTGACTCACAGAATATTTATCCACTTCCATGTAAAATTGTTTACACAAATATTCAGCGCATTCTTTGGGATAGACGGTAAGTATAGCTACGCAAGACTTAAATGTTAATACTTCAAAATTGTCCGTGTAGCTAGATTCTTTAAGTGTTACAAGAAGCTCTAGCAGTTCTATAGCAAACGATACATCATCGCCTGGTAATTGCGATAATATTAATTCTTCACATACTTGCATTGATTCGGAAAAAATATCTGGATTTGTCGAACTTTTTTCATTCACTAAATTATCACGTAAGTCACGTAAATAGGCTGGCCGTAATTTTTCGCTAGCTTTCGTATCGTTAGACATATCGTATGGCACTAAATCATCATCACTATCTAGTTCTGAATCACTTTCATGGTTGTCCTCAGTTATAGCATTATTTTCTGCAGTAGTTTTATCTGTCACATTTGATCCCTTTAAATATGTCGTAGTAGAAACTTCTTCGCATTTATCGTCATCATTTCTGTCTAATCTTTTTTCAACTAGAAGACAACATTCTACACCCAATTCATATAACTTTTTGTCGCCTAATGTATCAAACTCAATGTCATCAAGAATTAAATCATTTACTTCTGCATAACTTTTTTTTACTGAATTTTTTGTTACTGTGCCTAATACTTTTAAAGAATTAACTGTTTCTATCACTTCTGTTGGCATACTTTCGTAGTCGAAACAAAGTTTCGGTGCTCTGTCTGATTCAGATAATTCTTTAGTGAAAATTTCACCGACACACATTCCTATCGCTCGTAACATAATATGCGTGCATTCAAGATGTACTGATATACCAAAAAGTAGCAACCTTTGAATATTATCTTTTTCGTTTCTACTTAAATAGTCTTTTGATTTCCTCATACTCGTAATAATTAATTTCGTGATGCTTTTATGTTGCTCCAGGGAAGTATGATTCAAAGCACTTTTATCGCCCCAAACGTCTAGAAGCTTCATCAATAATTCAATCAAAATACGATTTTGACTTAAAAATTTTGATAAATACGTGGTTAAATTTATTATTAAACTATCATCATTATAATAACACATGAAAGGAATTTTTGTTGTTAATGTGTATTTCCAATTTGCATTCAATAATGCATCACCGAAAATTGGATTTACACCGAAGTTTACGTCACAATGCATTAAAAATAATACAGCTATCCGTTCTATACTTGGTGCGTCTAATGCCTTCAATATATTTTGAATCAAATTCTGTTCGTTATTTTTATTCTGAAAACACCATTCTGTTAAAATAGTGGTAAGAGGCAGCAAATTTTCCGATTGTGTAGTAATTAGTAGCTTGCTGATTAATACCGACAGTGGTTTAATATCTACATTGATATCGTATTGTAATCCAGTGTTCATCAAAGATATTGCGCGAGCGATATGAAAATTTATAATTTTAAAATACGTTCGAGGGAGAAAAGTCTCCAATGTTTCATTTTTCATTTTATTAGCCACTCGGTTAGGCAAAGAAATTAAAATTTGTACAAAGTTTCCCCAGATTTGATCTAACTCCTCCTTTTTCCTTATACTTTGTATTTGGCTTTTGCATGCACTCACTATTCCAGAAAACGAAGAATCACTTTTGATTAATAATTCCAAAATTGTTGAAATAGTATAAATTTTCTTCTCATCTTCAGTTTCTTTCAAAACGTAACTTAAACTTGATAAAGATTCAGCTAAAATTGGTAAAGTTGCACCATCAACAATTATCAATTGCTTAATTATTGGATCTAAAGTATGATTCTGTAATGGCCAGTTGTGATCAAACTTTTCGATTACTTCTTCTAAAATCCTTCCATATAACATACAATCAATTTCTAAGTCAAAATCAAGATTGCTGTATTTTTGTGGCGTAAGTGGACCTGGTAAGAATTTAATGTATTCAGACATATTCGACTTCAGTCTTTCCAAAGCGTTATTGCTTTTGATAGGACCCATATTACACAATTCTTCCAAAAGTTGGTTTGCAGCATGCTTTGAAAGATTTTCAGCTGAAGTGATGATTTCTTCCATCTCGAATGCTGTAAGGAAAGTCTCTCTTGGGGGCATTATACTATCTTTAGAGATATTTTGAAGAATAAGAAAGCATGCACAAAATTTTACAGAGACGATTCATACTATTTTCTCAATCATCAAAGAAACATGAATAATATAAAACAAACTATAGCAAAACTCTTTTTATCGCGGCACTTAATATATTCTAAATTAGTGATTTTATGATTCAGTAATACTAAAATATACTTTATAAGATTGTACGCGTCGTTTTCATTAAATGACAATATATCTTCTTCATATTACTAAACCGTAAAATCTGAAGAATGTTAATGGTAATAAACACAATGCTTACCTCCTTGGTTAGCCGTGAGAGGAGAATTCATGCTCATAAAAAGATTGGAATTGTTGGAATCATTTGCTTGTCTATCCACAGGACCAGAAGTTATAGAATTTAAACTGTCCAAATCTGATAGAAGATCCGTGTTTAAAGGCGCTACGAAAGTAAATAATAATCTAATATTAGAATTCACATACGTCTTGACGGCAGTTAACAGTTAAACATTAACTTGAAATTATCTATAACATACCTGCATTGTTATTTAATGTTTGCTGATTATTAAGTGCTTGTGGTTGCAGAGTATCAAACAAATTACTATTAACATTAGTATTTTGAGAATGTGCATTTGCAGCAGTCATAGATGTTAACGAAGGTGTGCTTACTGACTGGGTATTGATAAACATTGAATTATTGGCATTGTTAGTCACTGAACTATTAACATTTGGTACTGTGGCTCCCATCAGATTTATTTGTGCGTGTGGCAATTGTGATTGTACCGAAGGATTAGAGATTGTTACAGATGAGTTGAATGCAGACGTGAAATCTGCAAACTCATCATTATCTTTCGTTTTTACAGTAGGGCTTCCGAACGCACTAGTGAAATCCCCAAAGTCTACATTTGTATTTTGACTTTGTACAGTAGATTGAGTATTCGCCCTTGGATTAAAGTCTTCATCATCATCAACTGCTGATTTGGTATTATTCTCGCTCTGAGAATCGAAAATATCATTTAAAATGTCATTTTTACTCTTTTGCTTAATAGGCAATGACAAAGAGTTATTTTGTATTCCCGATACACCATTCTGTAAATTTAGTTTAATTTATAATTTTCCATATTTATTAAAGCCTAGGTAGCTATGTAAAATCTTCCAAGTATAATAATTTTCACTCACATTGGATTGTTCCCTTCCGTAATTTGCAGCAGCACCTAAATCTACTTTTTTTATAGTCCTTGGCAATCGTGCTGGTGAGGCATTTGTGGAAGCAGTAGATACAGATGTGGTTTTATTAACACGGTCTGTGCTATCCATTGTATCTCTATATTCTCTACCTCCTCTTTTTGGGCTTGGATGAACATCGTTATCTGAATCTTCTCTTTCACCATCATCGCTACCATAAATAAAAAAATTAAAAAACAAACAATACAAGAAAAAAGGTTATTACTATTAAGAAAGGGATATCAATTACTATCTTATTAACGTGTATAATATACCTGTTATTTGTATCTTCGAAGCCTTTTCCGCGATTTTCTCTATCCCAATCATTGTATGCATCTATACTACTTTTACCCCATTTTGGGCTATCTGTCCATCTGTCTCCACCTCCAAATCGCATACCCATTGCTTCACTAGACAGACCAACATATTTATCCTTATTCTTTTTAGCTTTTTTCCTCTCTTCTCTTAGTTTATCATCATCCTGGATGAAGTCAATTAATTCCCTGACTTTATGCCTTATATTAATCCCTTGATCTTTCCCGAATTCATCGATGCAAGTGTAATTTTCCAAAGATCTGAGATCATAAATATGTTCCCTAGAAGATGTGACCACTCTTTCTGAACCATTGCGAACTAGGTAATTTAAAAGTAAAAGAGACTGAAAAAGAGAAAATACAACTGTTAGAAAATTACAAGTAGTTGAATTTTACAATAGAATAATAGGGAGAAGATAGAAAGAAACAAAGTCGAATACAGTTTTTATATGTTAAACCACTGCGTACGATTATTATCGTTGTTATAAAAATATTTAATTTATAATAGATGTTATAATAATAAATTTCCATAACAGGTAATTTTTCAAGGAATATATTCATTGAACAATACTACTTAAATATGTACGTTTATGGTGTAAATGAACATACCTTGTAAGTTCGACGCCAATTTCGTTTTTCTTGCAACATCCGTTTCCACAGCATGGACATTACCTCGGGAAATTGCTCGTATGTGAATGTAGCCTGAGCAAGTTCTTGCATCATTGCCCCTGAAATAATACAAGCGGCACAATTAATTCCACCATACGTCGAACTTCGAAAACGGATAAAATTACGACATGAGTCGACCACTCGTTTAGCGAACGTATACAAAAAAATTTTATATCAGAAAGTTTGGCAATTATAAATATTCAATACAATCATGGTTTAATGAATTTATTAGACAGGAACTGGTTCAGTGTGTTTATAAATAAATTCTTCAAACGATAAATATACCAATGTGTTCAGCGTTCATTTTTATCGCATGAAAGATTTGCCCCGGCATTAATTACGAAATACCGAAGTTCGTCAATAACCTTTCTGAAAGTTTGAAATTCCATCTTTACTACATACGATAAGTAAAATGTTTATGTTGAATTGGTGATGTAATACAACATTACGAATTACTATAAAATTTATTTATTTATTTATTTATTTATTTATAATATTTTTTTCTTTAACTAAATAATATGATTCCTTATGGTCATAACCAATCTATGTATGTTTATGCGAGAGTGTACTACTTTAAAAATTCAAATTCATACCGGTTGGACCCCATGCATCGTCATTTGTTGCTTCCCGAACTTTAGCCTCCGTTTCCGTGTAATTCATTACCACATTGGTCCTGTAAAATCAGATTTCATTCTGTTAATAAATTATAACAATTGTTTTTATTGGTATTTAATTAAGCTATACAAAACAATATATATATATATATGTCTTTGATATATAATTCTGATGTAAAATTGCTTTCACTGTATATATCCAGATCGTATGAACACCTGCTAATTGCGTAATAATTTTACGCCTCCGCTCGCATACAATACTTCTATGTATATGTTCAGTTAGAAGTTGCGCACAGGTAACTATACAGAATTCCAATATCGCTTTTAAAAATTGTTTTCATAAAATTTCATCTATGAAATTGTGGTAATACGATAGAAAAATGTATTATTATGTAGTTTATTCAACATTCCCTTAAAGATAAACCACGTCTATAAAGGATTAAAAATACCTGTTTTTTAATTTATACTCTCTCTCACTCTGAACTTGTGTTTTAAAATAAATGTTTAAAATAGACGGTAATTTTCTAGTATAAGGACAAACTGAACCAATACTAGTATCTTAATTGATATTCAATGTTTATCTACGACCAGTTAAATGTTTAAAACCGGCTTTCCGGTTTTATTCGTAGCTGTTTATTCAAACTGAACTGTTTTTTTCTACCACATACAGTAATCAAATGATTTGTATAGCAAGTGGCAGTACTACCATATCGTGTATATAAATCTTTTTAATGTCATAACTTCCGAACAATTAATTTGCAGATGTACGTTGGTATAAGATTATTATGTCAATATGATTATCAAATGTAAGAATTAAAATATTCGAAATCACACATCGGAACATTCTAGACAGCAGTTGAAGGCGTCGTTGCACTTGTCGCTCTGGTCAACAGCTACATACATACATTTGTCACGCATCGGTACGTGACGAGTATATGAAAACTATAAAACTGGAAACTCAATTTTTTTACAAACTTTGGAATTCTATTTGGAATATAATAACTGTTCCTAAATTTTGAGTCAATATACCAATAAAAATCAATACACAAATATCACTGGATATACTTATCAGGTATGAGAAAGAGAAAGGTTTCGAATGGATTTCAGTCAATCCAACTTTGCAATGTTACTCAAATTTCTTTGCGGTTGGCCATGACCGAATAGGTAAGTGAGGAATTGTAATATTTGTTTCTTACTTTTGCAAAGTTGTATTATACCGATTAATTCGGTTTAATAGGTAATCAATCGATCAGCTAAAATATTTATTTTAAATTGTTGCAAAAGCATGTACTACGATATAAGTATTTGACACCTATCCCCAAGTAGTAGATGATTGCCATGTATAATACACAATGGATAAACGAAGTGTATGTGAAGTCCGTGTTATGGTGAAGTTTACGGTTTTCATGGTTAAACTTTATACGTTGTTATCAAGGTGTTCATGCAAGGTCGTGGAATCACATCTTGCTCGTGTTTGTCTTCGCCCGAACATTTTTCTGATAAGAAACGATAGTGTGACATCGATTCTCCGCAATGCTTATGAAATTAGGTGTTCGGCTAAAGGTGAAAATATTTTTTCTCCAGTATACAAGATATATTTGTTGCAATAAAAAGGACATATTTTTTCATATAATTCATATACGTTCTATATAAATAATTATAACCTTCTTTAATAAAAAAACAAATGCACCGACTAAAATTGTGTAAATGAACATTTTATTTGAAATTAAAAGTAACGTGTTAATGAATTCTCTTTACTTAACTCGTTTAGTTAAATGTTTAACAAAATGTTAAAAACAACTAAATTATCTGTGTAAATGAGGTTATACAAACAATCAATGTGTTTCTAATGTACATTAAATATAATATACACGGGTAGATGCATACGTTATAACTTTTTAATGTTGGAAAAGCTCTAGTGTAAAAGTAAAAACAAATGCAGAAAACCGTAGTCACTCGTGGGAACCACGTATCAGTGAAAATAACGATCGTGTTTGGAATCAAGATCTTCACATGGTCGTCTGTGGATTGCATTTGTATTCAGTAAGTGCTGTTCGAGATAATGGTGTTCTTCCGCTTCTCGGTTTCCACGGAACGCAAAGAACCTCATATTTCCGATCGTAATTATAAATGAACATGTGTTGGCTTGTTTTAAATAAATAAAATACGAGCACGATAATCGCATAGCATTTATAACTACGTTCTGGTATCATGTGAAAGGTTATAAAAGTGAAACAATTAAAAGATAAGAATAACAAACGGTACAAATAATAGGTACTAATGTTTGAAAACCACTATTTAATTCAACACTACGGCCATGTACACACGATGTATGTATATGCAAGAACCGGTGCTATAATAATACACACCCTGCGATTGCGTAAAAAAAATAGAAGGCAAAAGGTTCATCCAAACGTAACATTTTTTTACGCTTTCAATTTTCATGAATATTCTTCACCCGTGTTAACTAGAACTGCACGAAAGCATAACTTCAACAACAGGTGTGAGAATCACGCAAGAATGCCTAGCATTCCTTCGAACGAAAGTCAAAAGAAGATGAATTAATAGATCAAAGAATTGTGAATTTTCTTTGATATTTATTTCGGTAAAAATGATTATCTAACAGTTGTTTATCGTTTTATGTAATACTATAAATATTTGCGTATAAGGAATAACTGAAATAATGTTCATGCATGAGGATCAGTTCTCCATCAACGGTGCCCCCTCAACACGTCGAACTGTTTTTATTGAGGAAAACAGGTATTTCATCGATGCAAGTCGTTTTCTTACGTTTAAATATGCAACACTTTCTCAACTAGCAGTCTTACATATCATGAAGGGTAACCTGTTTGTGAGCTTGCTGGAGCAAGATTACCTACCAAGTCCAACTTTTGCTATGGTAAAAGTAGTTTTCGTCTATTATATTCCGTTTTAAAAGAAAAATAATTTCAATTCGAACGTATTTATATCCGTTTAAACATAAAATTCTACTAATAAGAACGGCTAAAGAACCATATCTATGATAAGTATGAACATAACATATTTGTATTAAAATATTATTAACTAAATGTTGTATTGAAATATACAACATAAATATAAATAAATTGTGTGTAAATGCATTACATTCTCTTTTTTGTAATATTCTTTATGGTCACTACATTTTAACCAGAGACTAAAAGAGCTGATGTTTACATTAATAACATGTAAGCATCAGCAAATAAATTTGGGAAATGGTGTAGACTACTGCAACGATAAAGATTAAAACGAATATCTAAGAACAGAATAGAATCGTATGCGCTGTCACTAACGAAATATATACAGAGGAAGTAGCTATTTAGATTATATACTTTATCTTTTTACAGTCATACCATGTTTGGTACCATAAAAGACGTTTCCTGTTATTTGACCTAGAAGCTCATATCCGATCGAGTAATTGTCACTCGATAACTTATTCGATTAAGGAAACAATATAATAATCATATAAAGTATTCAAAAATACTGGATCCTAAATAAAACCACCACTGGAAGCTCGACTCACTTGCACGAATTTCCATTAAACGGAAAAAGTAAGTTTGGACTAGAAGACTGCGGAAGCGCGAGTTATTCGTTAGATAACATGAGGTAAGTGATTATTAACGAACACAGAATTTAAGGGCGAATGAAAGAGCGTGCAGCGTATCAAAGCAAGTAGAGTGGATTGCGTCGAAAAAAGTAAAAGCAAGGTTAGATCGCGTGTAACTGACTTAATCGTACTTACGCCTTATCCATCAACTCCCGCACTTTCCACATGTTCATCATCGTAATTCACACTTTCCACTAGATGTAATATGCGTTTCCCGCGAGAAAATTACGGAACTTACACCAATAAACGTACACCAGATGTTTTTAAGAGCATTTGATTTCGCGACGGCGACGGCGACGGCGAACGAACGTCACCAGGCGGTGGCCATGTTATCCCTTCCACGTTCCACTAAACTAATAATCGTCACAGGTGTTTTAAGTCTGCCAACCTGACTTTTCGTTATCACAGGTTCTCCTACCTGCTTCTACCTGACGTTTTTATTATGTTTTTACGATTATTACGCGCAGTAAGGGACAGATGAACTATAAAGAATCATTCGAGTAACCGAGGTGAATTAGTTTCCATTCAGTCCAGTTTACCATCAAACACGTTCACCTTGATAAATTTAAGGTAGATTAATGTAACCCAATCAGCTGTCAACTATAAAGTATTTGACGCTTGTATTTAGTTATTTAAAAAAAGGATTGTCATTCTTCGTGCTCGGTATGTTTACGTCGTATTTAAATATAACCTGGATTTGAACTGTTGCCAACTGATTATTTAAAAACTGAAAACAATCATATCCGTGCGACGCATTTCATATTGTTTACAATAATAGCGTAAATTGAACCACTTTATTTATTCAATTAATTGTTTAAATTCAATAAACGGTTTCAAAATATTATTTTCGTCCCGAATTAATGAATTTACATTTGTATTATACATTTCTTTGTTCGACGACAAATCACAAATATAATATTTATTACAATCTCGATAATCTTTTTTATAATCATGTATAAGCCACTAACAAAAGTGTTTGTTTATTTCAATATCGCCCGAGTGAGATGGAATGATATTGACGTTTTATTTTTATATGTATAATTATTATATCATTAATGAACTGTCATAAAATGATATTTTATGAGAAGCATATATTTTTAACGTATCGATTTATTATTTCAATTGCTATTCTTATATATGATTTATTTTCAATTGACAACAATATTTTACCTCTGTGAAGTTAGCCGGGCAATTATGACTTTTTAACGTTTCATTATACCCAATCGAATGATGGTCACGCGTTCTTTTGTAATTAAGTGATCAAAATTTGATCGTGAAGTTAGCCGAAAATTTTTTTTTTCGTCGGATTCAGTTTTTTAAATGCTCAATCGATGCGGAATCGTTTGGTGGTCATTGGTGGCCTAATCACAACATTTGGTGGTACTTAGTTTCTATAAAAAACGAAAAAAACGATGTAGTCATCTGGCATTTCAGGATACAGGTGTACCAACGCACGTTTAAAGTTGATAAAACAGATATTTCTGGATTGATTGTCTTTTCGGATGAATCATCAATCCAGAATTATCTGTTTTATCAACTGTAAACGTGCGTTGGTACACCTGTATCATGTATCCACCAGATGACTACATCGTTTTTTTCGTTTTTTATAGAAACTAAGTATCACCAAATGTTTTAATTAGGCCACCAATGACCACCCATCGACCACCAATCGATTGAGTATAATGAAAAGTTAAAAAGTTAAAGTCGTCCGGCCAACTTCACAGAGGTGAATTGTTTGCTATCTATCACCATCTAGTGATAAAATTCTAGAAGTATTAGCACCGACTAGGTATAGAATAGACCTATCATCTAATGCTTTTTTCTGTCCCACGTTCATAGGACTACGTAGCCCTGTTACCATTTTAGTATCAATATCCGACGTTACCGATAAAGTATGAATTCTGAGTATTATTAGCACAAATGAAGTGTTATATATTCCATTCATATTACGTATATCTATATGATTTCACGAGAATAAAAATATCCGATGAAACGCGCTAGTGACCTTGCGTCACACAGTTTATTGACCTAACCGTGTACCATTTTTTTTTTTTTTT